GTAACTTGAGTTCCTCTTATCAACATGATTTCAGGCCTGCATTTCTCCTGCAGATAACAGGTAGTTTGCTGAAGAGTGTGATATATCCTGTCCACTTAGGCCGGGCAGAGCTGCAGGTAAATTGCTTCTTGGAAAAGAAAACATGTGGGAGTCAGCTCAGTGGGCCCATTCTATAGAATCATTCCCACCATTCACATATGTCTGTCCCCTTCCACACAGTGCAACACCTTTAGCTCTGATTTTTTAGGTAGACCTGACAGTATGAACTAACCTTGCCTTTATGAAACTGATTTAAGGAAAAAATTCCTCTTTACTTGTCCAAGCTGTGAATCCCAAGTGAAGTCAGGAGCCCATGGCCTGCACCAGGGTATTCATTGCCCTAGCTAGGTTAGGATGCCATCTTGCTTAGCTTAGAAGTATATGTGGATATGGTGGAGGCCATTCATGTGTGGAACAGGGAGGAAGATACAGCGAGAAAGAGGCGGTCTGAGGTGAGCTGCTTACATTGGTCCTGTTAAAATGAGAAACTATAGACCCCCCTGCATCCTTCCCTCTATCTTTACTGTATCTTGACTGAACCCCACCCCCAAAGGGAGACCTGGCCAGGCTCAGTGATGTGTGAACATTTTTAAAGCTAAGAATGTTCACACTGGTTTGTTGTTCCCTCAGAATGTCCCTGGTGTCATGATGGCTGTGTTAAGCGGCCACATCCATATTTCCATGACTCCCAGGTTCTCATCTCCCTCCATTGTGGGAGCTGGACCAGGGCCTTCCCTCTAGAGCTCAGTCCCCTCATCAGGACTGGGACTTTATTACCAGGTTGCCTCTAAGTAGTGGTGTCCTGACTTCACCGCTGCTTCAGGGCCAGCAACCGTGGGACGAGAGGCTCAGGATTTCACCTATGAAGCTGACTGAGAGAAAAGTAATCATCTTTTTTTTCTCCCTCTCCATGTTAAACTTTAGGATAAGTTTGTCAATATCCACAAAATGTCTTCCTGGGATTTTGATTAGGATTACAGTGAATTTATAGATAGAGTAAGAACCAACATCTTGAAAAAAATAGTCTTCCTGTTCATGAACATATAATATCCATCCATATGTTTTTAATTTTAAAAAAAAATAACAATTGCCACAGGCACTTTAGGTTTTTATTAATTCAAAAATTTAAAAATTAATTCTATATCTTTATTTCTTAGCAATTTTCCCAGGTATGTATAAATGTGTTTATACCAGTTTTTTTTGTAGCACAAGCTTATCCCCCCTTTACTTGTCCAAGCTGTGAATCCCAAGTGAGGTCAGTAGCCCATGGCCTGCACCAGGGTATTCATTGCCCTAGCTAGGTTAGGATGCCATCTATTATCAGAGTTCAGATCTCTCCTTTTCTTTCCTCCAGCCACGCTGGTGTCTAAATATTGAATGATACAAGGATTCAAAGAAGAAAATGGAGCATTAATCACTACACAACCTCTATCTGAAAGGACTATTTATTTATCTCTCTGGCAGGCGACAACATGCATTCTCTCCTTCCTCAAGTGTCTCAAGGATATACCAGAATAAGATTTTGCTTTCTTTCAATCCTTTTGTTTTAAGAGATAGTAGATAGTGACTAGATTGGATTATGATTCCTTCGAGGTCTGAGCATAGGACTTTGAGTCTTTCTTCACCTTTCATTCAGGTCACTTGAAGCTGTGTGAAGTGACAATGGCCTGAAATCTCTCTTGAGGAGGCAAAGCTAAATTTCTTTAAGAGTGCACAGAGTTTTGTCAGTTGACCTTATTTCTATTACTAAACATCTGCTCTTATAGTTGCTTCCAATGGTTGAGTTTACCTAGGTGTAAGACAAAAATTTTAAAGTCAGGGCTGGGGATGTGGCTCAAGCGGTAGCGCGCTCTCCTGGCATGCGTGCGACCCGGGTTCGATCCTCAGCACCACATACAAACAAAGATGTTGTAAGATGTTGTGTCCGCTAAGAACTAAAAAATAAATATTAAAAAATTCTCTCTCTTTCTTTCTCTCTCTCTCTCTCTTTAAAAAAAATATTAAAGTCAGATCCCAACATTTTCTTTTCACAAAGCTTTCCATTTATGGAAGCATTTTACCCTTAAATCTCCCCAACATCAGTACTAAATGTAGTAGTTCCAGTCTCTCACTGTGTCATGTCCCTGTGTAAAACGTACTAAGTGACAATTTCTGTGATTTATCAGTAGTTCAGAGACAAAAGCTAGCCTATCAGCAACCTGAAAGCATTCTTACTGATCGATCCTTTCCATGTTATCAAGCTGTCTCCCAAGCCTCTGTCCATGCCTACCTCTCCCATCCTCCCTCTCTGCCTCTCCCCACTAAATTTATGGAATAATAGATATCTCCAAGTTCTCTTATCCTCTCTCTTACTCTTCCAGGGATTCATAAACATTTATCAGCTAACCCCGGGACATGACATAGATTTCCAAACAAGGGAAAAAAAAAAACTTAGAAGGGAAAAACAGGAAGATAATAAACTTATAAGCTAAAAATATAAAAAGTAAATGGACAAAGATTTATCTTATGTTTTCACATTTTGAGTTTTATAATTTAATAGCAACTTATGGCAAATTTTATTAGATTCCTTAGTTAAACACACAAACTGTATTCATTCATTACCTCCTGTATAGAGCCATATAAAATCAGCAGAAGTTAGGGGGATCTAAAACAAAACCCCTAAGTAATAAAGTTAAGTAAAAACTTCTAGGGAAACAAAAACTTCTATGTGTATTATTATCATTTAGAAGGAGTGAAAAATATCCCCTCTTAGATCTGCGAACAAATGGAAGCTTCAAATTCTACTGTCATTGTATTGTCCCAGGGCTCTTGTCCAGGAAGGAGTTCTTGGGGAATGAAACTGTTGGATGGGAGATACCTCTTTTCTGAGTCATTAACCACACCCCTGTACCTCACCCTGGATTTTCAAAATGTTTTAGTGAGTTCACCATCTAGTGATGTTGGGGCCTTTGGAAGAGCCAAATTTCTTGGCACTTTATATGTCTTTTGAAAATATTTTCAGCCAAGTGCTGTATTGGTTTGATTAAACTTCATTCCTGAAATTTCATTTTAAAAGAAAACTTTTTTTTTTAATTATATGAGGTCACCCTGGCAAGTCAACCTCATAGTTTATTTAATAAGGATATATGGTTCAAAGTATTTTTTTTTTGGAATTAGGGCCTTCTTGTCAATCATGTGTGGAGAGTTAAGGAAAAGAGTTTTTTGTTCGTGGTGACTTTTTATATTGGTAAGATTTTAAATTTAAAGGGAAGTTTCTATAGTAAGCAGATCATTCTCCTTTTTACCAGATCCACCAAATGTTGACATTCTCTCCCTCTTGACATTGCACCTTTTCCTTTCTTCTCTCTAGCTCTCCCCTCCCCCATCTCATGGATGTTTGTGTGTGTGTATGTGTGTGTGTATGTGTGTGTGTATTTTTTCCCCTTTCCAAACCATATGAGAGTAGTTTGGAGATACCATGATCTTCCAGCTACTTCAGTATGTATTTCCCACAGTCAAAGATATTTTCTCCCATAACCACTATACAGTGACACCGTGGTCAAGAAGAGGAATTTAACATTTATATCATGTTTATCTAATTCACATTCATGTTCAAGTTGTGTCAATTCCTGCCACCAATAATATCCTTTTTAGCTACAACCCATATAGGATCCAATCCAGTCTTGCATTATACTTCATTGTCATATTTCAACCCCCAGGAAAAGGTTTTTAAGTAAATAACCTTAAATTACCAAGGATCTCAAAATGTCTTCTGGCTGGATGTCTACAGAAGGATCCTGTAAAAAGGAGACTCATAAATTAGATAACAGAGAAGTCCACGTTCAGGACTGGAACCAGCAGCTCTACAGACTGCTTCACTGCTGCTCGACAGGAAGAAAGGCCCCTTTCCTCTGTCACCCTCCATCCTGCCAGGCCATTTCTATTCTCACCCTCTCCTTCATGAATCTGAAAGTTATTTTTGGAGGGGTCATTAAGGATGCTAAATTCCAACGTGGGTGGAAAGTTAAGGAGGAAAAAAGTCCCTAAGCCCCTGGGATGCATTTCCCTGAGGGCTTCTCTCAGTGCTGTCAGGGAGAGGCCCTATGAGACTTGGTCTATGGTGACTTCTTATCCAAGGAAAGCTCCTCGGGAAGGAAGAGAAGCTGGGAAAACTGGCAGAAGTTAAGAAGTGCTCAGTTGCAGTCTGAAAGCAAATGCCCCAGCAGAAATGGCAGCCCTCAGGTCTAAGAAGGTTGAAAGCAAACAGGCAAACCCAAGAGGCCATTGCCAGCTTTCTATCCTAGACCCTCTGAAATGTAAGAGCCATGTATCTTCAGAAACCACCCCTGAATTTTTATTTTTTTATTTTTTTTAAGTACAAAAGATTGAACTCAGGGGAATTCCACCACTGAGCCACATCCCCAGCCCTATTTTGTATTTCATTTAGAGACAGGGTCTCACTGAGTTGCTTAGCACCTTGCTTTTGTTGAGGTTGGCTTTGAACTTGAGATCCTCCTGCCTCGACCTCCCAAGCTGCCCAAATTTTGAAAGCAGTGTTAAAGTAGAAGTATTATATGTGTAGGCTGTGTCTCCAGGACAGGTCACCCTCAGTGTGGATATATTAGGACTTATAGCCACTTCCTTGGGCTGCCTGGATGCCTCCTGCCGTGCGACATCATTGATACAGAAGAAAGCATGAGAGCCTGGAAGCCTTGTAGCACACCTGTTTCCTAATCAGCTTCCCCTGCTTTATAACTGACCTGGCTCCTTGTGAGCTTACATGGATCAAGTTCCGGGTCATGCCCTTTGTGGACACAGAGGGATAAAATCCACCAGTTAGCCCAAGTTTACCTAGCTGGGCAGAAGAGAGCAACTTTATCCAGTTTTTGGCCCGTCTTTTCACTCAGGAAATGATACAGGCTCAGGTTCACACCTCTATCGTTTCTCTCTCTTATTTTCCTTTCTATGCATTTTATGGACAGTGGGTCACAGAAAGTCCAGAAAGCCAGATGACGATCGAGGAGAGGAAGCACCTCATCTCTGTGCGGGAGGAGGCTTGGAAGACCAAGGGCAGGGGGGCCTCCAACGACTCCACCCAGTTCACTGTGGCCGGCAAAATGGTGAAGAAAGGTGAGAGCCTCTGTGTGTGTGTGTGTGTGTGTGTGTGTGTGTGCACATGCACACACGTGGGCACATTCACCAATGAAGGGTGATACATGTAAAATATCAGTAAAAAAAAAAAATCTGTATTATTTTTAAATGCTTAATCTCCCTAGCATTGTGTAAATGTCTCCTGGGTTGGTTTGATGGAATATTGCTACTGATGGCCTTTCTACAAAGTTTGTGTCATCTTCAATGAAAGAAGTATAATTCAGTTTTTCACTGTTTCAAAACTTACCCACTTGGAATTTGAGTGCAAGCATAGGTTTCAAAAGCAATTGCCAATCTGCTAACAAATCTTGGCCCATTCCCACAATTACTTTTAAATTGTTTCTGATTTCTTGTGCTCTGGCATCTGGTCACCACAAGTAAGTCCTTAGCAGTCAAGGAGTCTATCTCCTCTGCCTTTTAGGCTAATTCCTGGGTTCCTTTCCATCAAACCAGACTTTTCTGGCTTACAAAGTCAGTTTCCAGATATGCTTAATAGATGTCTAAAAGATGTCTTCATTTCCAACAAAAGGGGTTGGGGCATGGGGATTCCTTGCAGTCAGCTATTTCTCTGCAGCAGAGGAGTTACAACTGCTTTGAAACCTGTATCCAAAGACATGAAATTCACATGACATGTGGTTAGTAGAGTTGCTGGAGAGCTTTGAGACCCAATGGGAATGTTTGAGACTTTATTTTATATCCAGAGGGACATGTTTAAATTTTGATTTCCCTTTGTCACCTCTATGTACATACCATCAATTTACAAGCTATTTTCTCTGTTTTTTTTTTTTTTTTTTTTGTGATGGGGAAGGATCAGGGATTGAACTCAGGGGCACTCAAACACTGAGCCATATTCCCAGCCCTATATTGTATTTTATTTAGAGACAGGTCTCACTGGGTTGCCCAGTGCCTCGCTGTTGCTGAGGCTGGCTTTGAACTCAGGATCCTCCTGCCTCAGCCTCCCTAGCTGCTGGGATTACAGGCATGCACCACCGTGCTCTGCAATTTCCAAGCTATTTTCTAAAAGAAAATTTCCTGAGTTAACGGTAAAAGTTTTAACATTCACTTAGTCTTAACATTAGTGTTTTGGGCAACTTTGTAGGTTTTGCTTTAGGGAGCCTCACTCTGATGAATAGAAATCCTGACTCACTGTAGACATAATAAATGTTTGCAGGAAAAAGGGAGCAAGGGAGGGAGCAATAACCCTGATTGTGATTAACTCGAATCTTAGTGAAGAGTCCTTTCTAGCAAGTCTATTCTTACTTAATCCTAGAATTGTCAAAGGACAACAGAAGATAATTCACTCTTGCAGAATGAGGTAGTATTTGACTATTTTTTCATCAAATCACAGGACTGTATAATCATATTTAAACTATTTTAGTATGAGCCCGTCCCTTCATTTAACAAAAGCAGACCCTTGGGTGACAAAAGCAGACCCTTGGGTGGTCATTGATTAAATATAACTGGAGCTGAGAACTTGAAACACAGCTCAAGTCTTCAACTTCTAGCTCCAGATCTATCCCAATGACTTTTTTCTTTGGTTTCTTTTTCCCTCTCCCATCTTAAGAATCATATTTTATTTTTAAGTAGGCTCTTCTTACCAAATAACTTTGTCCCTGTGTCCTTGTTTACATTGATGTCAGAGGAAATAGATTTACTCTTATGCAGGTTTGAATAATGAATAGTTCCTATTCCTCAGTAGATGAGTTTGCTTTCCCATTTTCCTGAATAAATCTGGGATATTTACTTAAAACACATATGATTTATTCAATAAATAATTTTCTTACATTTTTAATCTAATGAAATGAAAAAAAAACTATATCCTATTTTTTTTCTAATATTTGTTACAATCTACTGGTTTCACTTTAACCATTAGCTTTTTTTTTTTTTTTTTTTTTTTTGAGTTCCTGGGGACCAATGGCCTTGCATATGCAAGGCAAGATCTCTGAGCTATGTCCACAGCCCTCAACCATTATAATCACTAGCACTTTTTGATTTACAATAATATGGCATCCAGTTTATATCACTACAGAATAAAATATCCCCTTATAAGACAACCACAGAGACTTCCCAACTCATAAATTCTAATGGTACCTGCAGCAACCAACCAGGAGTTACCACCTATCAGCAAGGCATGATCTCACCCTGGAAAGCTCTTGGTACCCCTTACCTCATTAGAACCTTCTCTCTTGTAGTAGAAGGTGAAAGAGAGTGAGGGAGAAAGGAAGGGAAAAGGTATTTAATGACTGAGGAGCAATATTGGCCAAATTATACTGTCATATTATTATATTGTCTGCATGTACAAACATGTAAGAGCAAATCCCATCATTGTGCACAACTATAATGAACCAATAAAAAATGGGTGGGGGGACCTTCTCCCTGTGCATAGCCCTAGGTTCCATGTAACAACCAGCTCCCCACAGGTTTCTGTAGTAGTCTAGGATCATCCTGGAAAAAGGGTACTCAACGCATGCCTTTGAATAAGAGATGTGAAAATGTTTACAAAGGTCACTTGCATATTGCTTCTAGAATTAATTAAAAAGATGTATGAGGGAGGGCTTCAGTTTGTTTTAACATTTTGTCATTTAAATATATATACCCTGCTTCCTTAGAACAAAATCCTTATCCCTAGCTGGGAGAGCCTGGTAGCACTTTTGTGCACTAGCACCCAATGGGCAGCAGGGGGCGCCATAGCAGAGGGATTTGCCTGGTGCCCAGACAGTAGAAAGGGAAGATTTTGCAGGCTACTTTAGCTTTAGAGTTAATGACCTCTGCGCTAATGAATTCTTCTAACATCTTTTAAGCATCCTTTCAGTAGTTAATGATTTTATGCCCCATTTTGGCAGAAACTTTCAAGAAAGTCTACTTTCTCACTGATATAAACCCTTTGCAGGTCTGGCAATTTAAACAAATTTTTAAATATATGTACATATATTCACAAATATATATGAAAATATATGTATATATTGAGAAGTGTTTTCAGAATCTTACCTAAACTTAAGTCGTAAGCCACTTCTTGGTGTTTTGCCTTAAATTTTTTTATGCTATAGTACTTTTCCAGCTGACAGGAGGAAGGAGCAGAGTCATTCACTTGGCTTGTAAGTGATAGTGATTTACAGTATCCTCCGGTTGTTTTCAGGGGATGCATAAAGGGGCAAGGTCATCCAAAGATTTCACATTTGTTATGAAAGAATGCAAAGAACATTAACATCTCATTTTTTCCTTATAAATGCACTAATTACTTCCTTTCTCAGTTCTTTCTACTTAGGTTAGAAAAAAAAATACTTGTTTTCTCTTTATCAAGTTTTCTGGTTCCAGAAAGATATCTTCTTTGATGCTGAAATATGCGCTTTTAAAGATTACCCACCTGCTTCTCAATCAATAATATGAGAAAGCCCGTTTCCAGTTTCCAGCCACATCTGAGCTGGGAATGGCCCTCCAACATCAGTTTAAATGCATATTCTCCATGTCTCTCTTCTGACTGGTCAGCACTCTAGGTGACTTACTGTGGAATATCCACAAGGGTAGACTGTTCCTGCCTCCCCTCAGCCTGGAGGAAAACTCCAGTTCTGGAACCACTTGCTGGCTAGTGTGACACAATTTATTCTCAGTCTCCTCCGTGGAAGATAATGCAAATACGCTTTCTCTTCAGTGGCCCCTGTCACTCCAAAATGGCCTTCAGAACCCATAATTCCATTTGTTCAAGCATATTCTGCCTTGTACACTCTTTTATTCCATTTTTGGAGCATCAACATGTTTTGTTACATCTTCACTGTTCATTTTGAAATATCAGCTTGCTGGCTACTTAGTTCTTAGACGTAATAAAACTTTCTCTATAGTTGCATTTGTCCTGCATGGTCATGGTACCTGCCCAATGTATGTGCATGTATGTACACATGGATGCATGGACATGGATTATTATAAGTTGTACAATTTATGCTGGGACTCATGGAGATGCATCAGAGTCACAGAATTTAGAGAAGTAATTTTAAGAGGCTAAATCGCTCCATCGTTTGTTCTGCAGGTTTAGCATCACCTACGGCCATAACTCCAGTAGCGTCCCCTATTTGCAATAAATCAAGGGGTACTACACCAGTTACCAAACCCCAAGAAGGTAAGCCACCAAGGTGCCCAGTATGTCTTGAGTTTCTGATCAGAAGAGTCCTCATGACACTTTCTCACTGATGGTTTCTACGTGCTTAGATATTGAAGCCAGACCAGATATGCAGTTGGAATCGGACTTGAAGTTGGACAAGCTGGAAACCTTTCTAAGGCGGCTGAATAACAAAGGTACATACCAGAAAGAAGCCAGGAGGGAGTTGGGAGGCTTTGGCTTAAATCCTTATAGCACATCAAGATTTGTATTTTTAATGAGTTACTAAGAAAACCTTAACAACCTGCTTCTCTCTTAAAATCTCTAAATCTTAATTGTTTGCTTTTTCACCTCAAATAAATTGTCTTCTTTCTAGTATAGCTTTACTAATTCATATTGTAAGCATTATCCTTGTTATCATTCAAAAACTGAAATTTGATCAAGACCAATTCGATTATCAAGCTGTGATTCCCCTGATCATGTATTAAATTGGGGACACCCAATAATATATTTTTTTTTCTGAATCTAAACCTTGGCATGTATCCAGTCAGAATTGTGAACTCAGTAATTTTACTTTTATCCCTGAATTCATATTGATATACCTATGCAAAATCAACATGATCTTGGGTAAACTTTAAATTGCATATATTAATTTCTAATTGGTTAAAAGCTCATATTCTTTCCTATAATCACATAGGATTTCTAAAAGAAAATCCTAGCGAATAGATATTTAAATAAATATTTCAATACAAAAGTCAATGAAAGTCCCAAAAATATTTCAATACAAAAGTCAATGAAAGTCCCAAAAAAAGAATATGCAAAAATAGCCTTTTATCACTTGATAAAGCATGTCTAGTACTTGCAACTTATCAACTCCAGACACTGGGAGGCCAATGCTTTTGACAATACCTCTAAAAGCTTGAAAATATTACAAACAACCATTATAAACTGAAGACATGAAAGTTTAATACACTAACTAAACTGGCTAAGCAAGGAATCCTAACAGTGAAATGTTTATTGAATACAGGTAACAGTAATCTAGCCTGAGGATCAGCCAATGGTTATCATGGCCAAATCAAGCTCTTCACCTGTTTTTATAAATAAAGTTTTATTGGAACATAGCTGTGTCCATTTGTGACCCTTATTGTCAGGAACCCCTTTGGCACTATCAGGGCAGAACTGAGTAGATGTAACATAGGCCATGTCAGTCCCCAGGCAAAGGCTAAAATATTTACCGCTGGTCCTTTGCAGAAAGTTTGCTGATTCCTAATATGGAATTAGGCTGGGATTAGTTGTCCCACCAACAGAAAGAGGTCAGGATCAAAAATGCTCAATGGGCTTGTGTGCCACAAGTTCAGCGTCCTCCCTCCCACCGTTGCACTGTGCCAGTTTTGTGTAGGTGGGAAGTCCTTACGGGAGAAGTCAGGTAAGGGCCCAGCAAGCACTCTGAGGATCACATGCATCACTATCCTGTTTTCTCCACTCCTGGAACTTGGGGGAGGGAGATACTTTTTGAAATACTGTAAGTTTTTGACAGAGCAACTGTTTTGACCAAACTCATATTTTTTTATTTGCTTATTTATTGATAGTTGGTGGGATGCAGGAAACAATTCTCACCGTCACCCGTAAATCTGTTAAGGAGGTGATGAAGTTGGATGATGATGAAACCTTTGCCAAATTTTACCGCAGCGTGGATTGTAATACACCAAAAAGTCCTGTGGAGCTGCAGGAGGACTTTGATGTTATTTTTGATCCTTTTGCACCCAAGTGAGTTATTTCCATCTCCGTCTCCCCTCCACTGGCAAGGGTGTCCTTCCCCTGCGTCCACACAGTCCTTTCACAGGGGAATGTTGTCACCGTGTTATCTTCTCTGAAGTCATTACAGCCACAGTGTTTCTCTAGAGCCAGGTGCATCGTGCTGCTGGCCAATAAAACAGGCATGCTCTGGACCAGATGTGTGTTTGGACAGACCACGTGTACCACAGATGTTTGCCCTATGCCATTAGAGAGGTGTTAGTGGACTTTTTCACATCACTTCAATATTATTTTGCAGTTTTTTTTAGTTTAACATAACTTAGCAGATATTTCTATACCTCTCTCTTTTGACATATTGGATACCTATTCGTCACTGAAAAAAATATATGGATGATATGAGCTCAGATTAGCACAACTGACTAGAATATCAGAGGAAGAATATGACCTATCTTCCAATAACATATAAAACCAATAGATCTTAGGGTTTTCTCAGTGATCTACAAAGACATTTATTCACATGAAAACATGACTAAACCACCCAAGAAAAGTTATTTTGAAATTAGGATTCCATCAGTTGCAATTGCCAGAAAATCACCTAAGTCAAACTGACTTCAGCAAAAGAAAGGCGCAGAGAGATTTACTTTCACATACTGGAAAGTCCAGGCGTGACCTCAAGTTAGGAGGCCCCTCAGAACGCAGTCCCTCCCATAGCTGTTCTCCCCTGAGCTGTTCCACTCTTGGCAGAGCTGTAACCAGGGGATGGAAGGTGGCCACCCCAACCTCTGGATTTACAGGTCACTTCTTTGGCCAAGCCAACACAGGCAGCTTTTTTTCCCAGTTATTCCAGCAGAAGTTCCAGGTTTAGTTTTCATTGGATCCCAAGTCCATCCCTAATGCCTTCATCACAGCCAAAGAGATGCTGATTGGTCAGAGCCAGTTCTAGAGCTCCTCAGAGCCAGGGTAGGGGTGGGGTGAGGTGGTTGTCCCTAGGGAAAACCCAGATGCTGTTAGCAGAAGCCCGGAGCCCTGCTGGGCTGGGCTACAGTACAGCAACCCCATCACATCTCTTCTGGAAATCTGTGTAGTCACTAAGTTTTTCTGTACGCCACTCCTGATACATTTTTTTTTTTTTTTGCCTATGTTCAGTTTGTTTCTATTTGCACATTTATATTTCCTACCTTAAAAAATAAGCAGTTTGCCATTTTCCACCTTAAAATAATATTTGGGGTATTTGTATACATGGTTATCTAGCCATTTCTCAACCTTCACCCAATCGTCATTGTTTAAATTTTTATAAATAATAATTCAAACATTTCTATTTATACACAGAGAGGCAGTGGTATTATAAGAAAGAATTTCAGGCACAGGGACCCATGCACTTGGAATTTGAGTGTAGCGGTGAGACTCTGCTGGGACATCATATAACCAGACCACCACCTCCCAGGCTGGGCGTTAGCCCACAGATTTGTGAAAGTGCGGGGACATGCCACAGATGATTTTTCAGGCCTATTTTATTTCAATACACTTTTCGGAATTGGGGCTATTTTTCTCTAGGGGCCAGTGGCTCCCACAGAAGCTAGCCACAGAGGGATGGTGAGTGAACTGAAAAGCTATTTTGTAAAGAGAAACTTTAGTCTGGAGCAAAGAGGATTGAGTGGCCGAGTAATGGTTGTCTGCAGGTAATGCAAAGGTAGACCGGGGTGTATAATTCCGAAGAGAGAATCAGGACATGGGCATGAGAAGGAGAACCCTAACTTCAGAGCTGCCTAAGTGATGGAGTGAGCTGCCGGGTGAAGCCCAGGGAGACCCTGCAGGCGGAGACCAGGGCACATGAGTGGGCGGGGCTTCTGGGATTGTCCAGGATCTTGAACTCAGGCTGGACCCTCCCTCCCACCTCCAGGGTTCTGTGAATACACATCAGGGGAGTGGTAGTGGGCGGAGCTGTAAGAGTATAATGAAAGATTTATAACTGTGGAGCCCATTGCTGCAGATACAAGAAACACAACCCGGTGTGGCCGATATTACAGACTAAGAAGCAGCTGTCTTGGCCCCACAGGTTGACGTCCTCCGTGGCTGAGCACAAGCGTGCTGTGAGACCCAAACGCCGAGTCCAGGCTTCCAAGAACCCCCTGAAAATGCTGGCAGCGAGAGAGGATCTCCTGCAGGAGTACACTGAGCAGAGGCTGAACGTCGCCTTCATGGAGTCAAAGCGGATGAAAGTAGAAAAGAGTGGGTATTCGGCACCACCACACCGCTCTGGGACCTGGGTATCATTTAATCATTTCCTGTTTAAAGGTGCTCAAAGGACACCAATTAAGTATGGGTAATTCAAATTATTCTTGAGTTTTGTCTCAAGAAGTTGGAGGAAAAGGTTTTCTGCCCATTCATTTTCAGTCCCATAGAGAGAGTCTCAACACAGTAATTCTCCACTTTTAAGGGCACACTATTTATTTGATCTCTTATGGGAAAACATCCCAAGCTACTGTTTTTCCTAATTCTAGGTGTATATATATTATTAATTAACACACAAAGCAATGCTTTCCTTTTGTCCTTGACAGAGGCCCCTCAGGCTGCCGGAGTTGAGATAGGGGTTACTTGTGTGGGAGGGTCACCAGTGGAGAGTGAGCTGTGGACTGCTGCCTCCACTTCACACCAAGAGTCTCTGCTGTTATCTGCCCTTTAATGTGGGATTTCATTGCTCTGAATTAGTGACTTTCATGGTGAAGGTAATGGCAGGCATAATCTTGATATTTTGAATATTCTCACTACATTTTTTTTATTTCCCTGTAGCATTCATGAACCAATTTCCTCAAGTTTTTCTTAGAAATATAGTATTTAGATGAAGTAGGTGAGTTTTTTCATTATAACACTAAGGAATCATGAAGTATCAAGTTATATTTCTTTAGCATTAGATCGTAATCCCAGTGAAATAATTTTCTGAATTTTGCTTCAGCATATGTTTTTTGTTTGTTTGTTTGGTTGGTTTTTATTACTGAGGATTGAACTCAGGGATGCTTAACCACTGAGCAACAATCCCCAGTCCTTTTCTGAATATTTTATTTAGAGACAGGGTCTCTCTGAGTTGCTTAGGGCCTCGATAAATTGCTGAGGCTGGCCTTGAACTCGCTTTCCTCCTGCCTCAGCCTGCCAAGCTGCTGGGATTACAGACGTGCACCATCACACCCAGCTCAGCATATACATTTTTTAAAGCAATGAATTGGAGAAATCAAGATTTATTTTCACATATTTTACATACTTTTTCTACTACCTCAATTTTTATGGGGCTCAGAGAATGGCTTTATGAAGACCATTTGATCCACACATATTTGTTGGTCTAGTATCTTATAATTACAGAGCAGAGGACCTCAAGATCATCTAGTTGATCACTGCCTCCAGAGAAAGGTTAGAACCAAATGCTCCCTTATAGAGTGTTGACTTTTCTGCATATCAAGACATTTGGTGAAAGCCATCAACAGTCTTCCATGGGAATATATCCAGCATCTACCAGTTATTAGGAATTATAACAGCTTTCAATGGAACTGGAACAAATGAGTCCAGTACCTACTTTTATAACAAAGTGGCTGGTCCTCATTGCCACTCATTTGTCCCTCTGCATAGTGAGGTGTGACACTTGTCAATAAGCAGTTTATTCTTTTATACCATATACTTACATTCCATATTTAGTTCTTTACATAGTGATTGAGCATTGAATTGCATAGATAATCAAACTAGATCATGTGTCCCTGTCAGATCAATTTTCAAAGACAAAAGTAGTGAGTCAGGAATAATTTCTGATTTGTGAACATTGTCACCTTATCTGAACGTCTTGCTTCCCTCTGTGCTACTTTCCCTCTTTGACCCGCCCAGTGTCCTCCAACTCCAACTTCACCGAGGCTACTCTGGCCGGCTTAGCCAGTAAGGAGAACTTCAGCAGCGTCATCCTGCGGAACGTCAACCTGACGGAGCAGAATTCTAACAACAGCGCGGTGCCCTATAAGAAGCTGATGTTGTTACAGATCAAAGGTACCGCTGAGCCACACAGAGAAATGACATGCTTACCCACACTGACCAGTAGTAGTTTCTGTCTGGTCCTGACTGCTCCCTTTGTCACCTGTGAGGGGAAGGGCCTGTGTGTGTTCTGAGACTCTACCGTGGACCAAATCGTCTGCTACCTCCTCTCACTTCAGTGTCACAGAATCCCATAATGTGGGCATTCTCTGCCCATGGGGGCTGAGAGGCTGGTAACGTGCCGAAGGTCACGGCTGCTACTGAGTGGCAGAGCTGGAGTGGAATCAGTGGAGATTCTTCCTCTTCCTGCATCTCTTTGCTTTTGCTTCTGCTTTCTCTGGCACCCTGGCACCATGGCCCATGCCCTAATACTGCCATGTAGCCACCAGATGTGCCCTAAGTCCACCCTCTGTTCGGTTCTCCTCACTGAGCTGAGGACCCATGCAGGCCAGAAGGAGGAGAGCACATTACTAGGACAGGAATCAAGTGAAAGCAGAAGCAAATGAGGCAGAGCTGATTTCACTCTCCTGCCTTTTTTATCCATAGCCAGTGAGAGACTCAGAAGACCACAGGGAAGCCCTGGGCTAGGAGGAGAGAGGCTTTGCTGCCTCCTCGTGGTAACCCCTGTAGATGGATCATTGCGAGAAGGATGGATGAGCTATCACCCACCTCCCCCTGGGTTTCCTATGTGCATCTGCAAAACCACCGTCCTTTTTAGTGTATTTAAAAAACTGGTGACCAGCTCCAATAGCCAGTCTCTGTTCCTGTGGTCTAACCTAGAGACCACGCCATGTGTGTGATTGTGGATAGCTTGAAATCAATCAGTCATGCAGGAAAAGGTGTTGAAAACTCCACAGGAAAGAGATCCTATAGAAAGGCCTGCCCTTCCCTGGAACACAGCCAGAGATACCAAGGGTAGGAGGTGGGCTGGGTGGAAAGCTCTAGGAGAGGGAAGAAGAGGAGAAGGAGCACGTTTCCCAATTTCACTGGAGGAGGGGACCTTAATACGTCCGCGCACATACTATACAAAGACACGGACAAAGGTCCTAGGAAGCATGGTGACATTTGGGCAAGCTAGGGGAATTCATTGAATGCTGTCTTCCTGTTGGCCCTTTTAAATTCCTCTCCATGCCATCCAGGGTTAGAGGAGGTCATTTAGTAGACAAGAGTTCTTACACTTGGTAGTTTGTGGCAGTGATGCTTGAGCCGTGGGTGTGTCCTCACCCCAGTCTGGTGTGGGCAAGCAGTGACTCTGGGCCTCCTGTCCAGGAAGAAGACACGTTCAGACAAGGCTGGTAGAACCTCGCGCCTCGTCACTCAACAGTGGGGACTGCTTCCTTCTGCTCTCTCCCCAGTTCTGCTTCCTATGGGTGGGAGAGTTCGCCAACGTCATCGAGAAGGCAAAGGTAGGTGTCTGCATGATAAAATGCTTTAGTTAACGCCTCCTTTACACACAGATGGAATGTTCTCCCACCCGCTAGATCCAAATGGTGGGTGTTTCATTTCAGTGAGAAGGGACAGGTAGTATGTCCTCTTGAGTGTCTCTCAAAGGAGCTTTTGTGAGGGCTGAAGTAGGATTTTCCAGAAGGACTGTGGCCTCTGCCTCCAGTTTTAAAGTCCTGGATTTATTCCTATTCCTGTGTTTAAAAGGAACTAGTACCAATTTAAAGCCCTTTATCCCAGACCCTTAGGAAGTTCTGCCACAGGCCTTTTGAATGAGAATCTCAAAAACAATAAAGCCCAAGGAAAAGGTAGTTTTCAAAAGCATCCTGTTGAATATTAAAGATTGAGAACTCCTGCTGTGTGCCTCTCCATCCAGCCACAGATTTTTCTAGCCAGGTAATTGTGTTTCTCTTTTTGTTTAGGCTTCAGAACTCGCAACTTTAATTCAGACAAAGAGGGAACTTGGTTGTAGAGCTACATACATCCAAACCTTAGAAGAAGGAATTAATACACACACTCACGCAGCCAAAGACTTCTGGAAGCTCCTAGGTGGCCAAACCAGTTACCAGTGTAAGAACGGACTGTATTTCAGAAATTGATAAAACTTGAATTTCCTTTTTTCTCCTGAGTTTATTCTTCTAAAGCAGCAACTTTTCGATGTAAAATATGGTGCTCTCCTATTGTTCCCACCCCAAAGGTGCCGGAGACCCTAAAGAAGATGAGCTGTATGAGACAGCCATTATAGAAACAAACTGTATTTACCGTTTGATGGATGACAAACTTGTTCCTGATGATAACTACTGGGGGAAAATCCCAAAGTGCTCCCTTCTTCAACAAAAAGAGGTACAGTCTTCAATAAGAGCACACCTAGGGCACTCTGCACAGGGCTGCCCCACAATAGAGTCAGGAAGTGCCTAGGAAAGGTTAGCTGGAGTTAGTGCCGGTTGTCAAACACAGCAGCTCTTTAGAGGATATTTATTTGGAATTTTAAACCATTACTGCCATCTGCAATACTAATACAGAATTCAGAATATTGTGCCAAAATGGCATGGATCATTGAAGGCTTTTATATTTTAGGCAAATGGAAGCATTGCTTAGCCCTGTCTCTTGAATTTTGTATAAAGATTAAATAAAACATTTTTTAGTCCTTAAGTTCCAGGAATAATATATTGATATATATTTAATTTGTGGATCTGCGAGGTAATGTGATTTTTTCCCCACTCACACCAGTAAGTATTTATTCATTACATACATTTCTAAAACCAATAAATATTCTAGGTATTGAGAAAAAAGCAGAAGATACAAAAGGACCTTTAATTTCATTGGGTTTCAGCAGCACATTAGAAAGATTAGAATCCAAAGCTGAGTTGAGTAGATGATATGTATGGGCATGAAAGTGGGAGTAAAACAAGTCACGGAAAAATAAAAAATGAGGAATAACATTTTAAAGAATCTGATCCTAGTTTAGAGTTTAAAGTAGAGTTTGGATGACTGGAAATGAAGGGAGAATCTTCTCAGAAGAAAAAGTTGTACACAGTTACAGGCATGGAAAGGAGAAATGGCATAACATTTGTGTATTCGTTCAGCAAACACTCAGAGGAAGCCCCTACCGTAAATATGACATGATCTCTGCCCTTAAGGATGTTGGATTGTAGGTGAGAGAGAAGACTTCATTGGGTCATCAGTATCTGGCCTGAATGAAGCAAACGAGTGAACAAGGGAGGGAGGGAGAAACAAAGGGAGGGGGAGAAAGGAAAGAAGATAAAAGAGCATACTCAAATAACTCCTTTATGAATCGGACATCTTAAGTGGTTTGAGAGTTCAGAGGAGGAGTCATTAACTTGGGCATTTAGAACAACAGGAGGAAATTATACCCCCGCCACCACCCCGCCAACCCCAGGGCCATAGGCTGGCTTGGCAGGGCAGTGCCAGCTGGTCAGATCTTTTGACCTTCTTGAGTTATATGGGTTGCCCGTTAGGCTTTATCATCACCCGTTTGACTCACTGTCTTCGGAGACCTGACTCAGCTGGAGCATATCCTTGAAGTGAACAAGTTCTTTTGTGCCATTTCCCCAGGTCCTGGTGTTTGACTTTGGTAGTGAAGTTTACGTGTGGCATGGGAAAGAAGTCACCTTAGCACAGCGCAAAATAGCATTTCAGCTGGCAAAGCACTTGTGGAATGGAACCTTCGACTATGAGAATTGTGACATCAATCCACTGGATCCTGGAGAATGCAATCCACTTATTCCCAGGTATTCCCGCGGTCCACGTGCAGCGTGTAGAGTGAGCAGAATCCCTGTGCAGGCTCAGTTCACGGTCACCTAGCTGTCATTCTTTTCATAAAGGTTTCAGTTCTTATGATTGATTGCATGCCCTGGACTGTGAATATTCACAAAACAAACATTTCTTTAGCTTTTACCTAACTAATAGAGAAATATGGATTTTAAGGAAGTTGTTTTTATTGCATTTAAGTTTTTGAAGTAGACAAATAGTTTTCCCCTGTAGCATTCCAGGTACTGTTACAGCAGACAAGTAGCAATTGTTTAAACAAATTTCCTGCTAATCTGAAAAGCTTCCCAGAATCTGCAATTCTGCCATAGATCTGAAGGTGCAAAGCTACTTGTTCCTTCTGATTCCTATCTTCTGAGCATAGTGTTTGAGTCCCAAGAGTTATTTGTCATTTTGTAGTATGTTTGTGCCTTTTGCCTTTTGGGGTGAAGAGAAGGACAAGAATTTGGTATTGAAATAATAATTGTAATTTTAATATTCCCTGTAGAGCGTTAGACCTTTGAAAGTTGTTTTGGTAAATTCAGAGTATGCGCAAACTCTAAGAAATAACATCATGAAAAATAAGAATTCTTACATGCACAAGATTGGTTTTTTAAACTACCAGACCCCTAGAAAATGATTTAAAATATTTGTGCTACATAGTAATAAATTAGAAATGAATATGCCACCAAACAACATAGAATAATATATAAATTTCAACCTTCTTACCTTGTTTCATGCTTTAAAATTATTGATTTATTATCAGTTTCTTTCTATAATTAAACACTTTTAAATTATATGAATGTAGTAAAAATTTTTTAAGTCATTCTTTAGCAAATGGCCATTTAATATTAGTACTATAACAACCAGTGTTAAGAACTCAGATGAAGCCTATATTATTTTATCTAATTTTATTCTATCTTAAAGAAAAAATAATTATGAAGCATAGAATCTACATGATGGTCAATTTATATTTAGAAGTGCCATGTTCACAAATATGAACATGAATTACTCAGCATCTCATTCACTGGTTTCCAGCATCTCTGCAACAGAATCACTGAAAGAACTTTTTAAAAAAGCACATGCCAGGCCCAGTCCCCGAGAGGAGTCTTTAGCTCCTGAGGGATGGGGCTTCTGTTCAGTATGGCTTAAAAGCTTCCCAGGGATTTTGAGGTACAGACAAGATTGCAAACCCAGCCCTGCTGTACAAACAAGGAGGCTAAAACCCTCCAAGTGTGATGTCTCAGCCCTGGGCAAACATGCAAGTCAGGAAGGAGGTAGAGAAACCCACTAGCCCCTGCTCCCACGTTTGCCCAGAGCTGTTAAGTGAAATCAGCCAGACTCAGAAAGTCAAGGGTCATGATTTCTCTCATATGTGGTAGCTAGAGAGAAAAAAGAGAGAAAGAAAAACACACACACACACAACAAAAAAGTCTCTTGAAAATGGAAGGGAGACTAATAGATTAAAGGAAGGGAAGTGGCGGACGGGGAGAGAGGGGAGTTATTGGGGAATGAAATTGACCAAATTACATTATGTGCATGTATGAATGTGCCACAGTGAATCCCACTATTATGTATAATTACAACGTACCAGTGAAAAAATTAAGGGACAAAATGGGAAATGTTGGAAACAGTGCACAGTAGGACACAGAAAATACAGCTGATTGGTTTGATGGGATAACAGCATCTTGGTCTCAATTCACAGTCAAAGGTTGGTTTGGAGGGAGAAGAAATACCTACCCATTCTTCTCTCTGCTGTACCCTATAAAGCATCTATTTGCTCCAAGCTCTGCCTTTTTCTAATTTACCTGTGTTCTCTGGTACAGTGTCAAATCCTAAAATCCCGAAAGTACACAAATCCTCCTGGGTGAGCTGTGCTCTTTCCTGTCCTTGTGTCTTTCCTGTCTGCCACTGATGTTCAGCTCCAGACACAAAGCCTTGCTAGGCACCAGGCTAAAATAATACCAGATCACCTATTTGGTAAAATGATTAAAAATGAATCATTCCTTCTATCTACCACTCATGTATTTTGATTTTGGTTTTCAGTAGCCATGTTTGCTTTCCTTTGTTTAGCATCACTGAATCCGAGTTCTTTTCTTGTCCACTCCACCCTGCAGGAAAGGACAGGGGCGGCCTGATTGGGCAATATTTGGGAGACTTACTGAACACAATGAAACTATTTTGTTCAAAGAGAAATTTCTCGATTGGACTGAACTGAAGAGACCTACTGAGAAGTGCGCTGGGGATCTTGTCCAGCAGAAGGTATTCCAGGGATCAGTCCTCAAAGGGCTTAACTAGGGTCCTCACACAAGTGGCCTTGACACCAAAAGACTTTGCAGGGGCCACTAAGAGAACATCAAAATGATTTCTAGTTAAAGTCTGTTGTGATGGGTTCAGGTCTCCCAGAATCCTTCCCCTAAATGCAGCCAAAATTCCTGAAAATCATGGGAAAGCTGCACTTTCACATGGTCCCATTAGCAGTTGAAGTAGGGCCAGGGACCTACCCCAGTGGTCGAACTCTTGCCTAGCATTTGCAAGGTCTTGGGTTCCATCCCAGCACTGTTAAAAAAAAAAAAAATAGAGTTGCAACATCATTGAGTATGACTATAGGATCACAAGTAACTGGACAAACATTTTTATACCCCCATGTAGGAAGACCCTAGGACTGACATCAGGCCATATGATGTCACGCGGATGGTGGCAGTGCCCCAGATGACAGCCGGCACCATCCTGGATGGGGTGAACATTGGCCGTGGCTACGGCCTGGTGGAAGGGGACGACAGAAGGCACTTTGAGATTGCCAGCATCTCCGTGGATGTCTGGCATATCCTAGAATTCGACTACAGCAGGCTCCCCCGGCAGAGCATCGGGCAGTTCCATGAAGGTGACGCCTATGTGGTCAAGTGGAAGTACATGGTGAGCACCACAGGTTAGTGAGCGCCTCCGTTCCCTTCACAAAGAGAGGCAGGAGTCGCACTGTGTGGAGTGGGGCGCCCTGCACGCACCTGGGTGTCCTCAGCTGCTTCAGTGCACACAGGGATCCACTGATAGGCTTTAAGGACTCCCTGCCCCCACCCCCAGGGTCTTCTAGGAAAGTCATGACTTGCTTCCTTTACCACGTGGCTGTGTGCTGCTTAAGTACATTAAATAGATCACATCTGGGTGATGTAAATCGGAACCAAATGGTGATGTGCCATTGCTAGTGAATACACACATACAAGATTTATTTTTTAGAGTGTGGGGAGCACTGAGGTTATACCTGGCATGAGGCTCTGGGTTCCCATCCCCAGCACCACCCAAAAAAATGACAAGTTTCTTTTCCTCTGAGGCTTGGAACCCTAAGAGTGCCATAGGGATCTGCTTGGAGCCCTAAGAGTGCCATAGGGATCTGCTATAAAGGCAGTCAGAGATCTTCATGGTCCCTGTAGCAATACATTCAGTTGGATGCTTTGCTCAGAGGGCATGGCCTGGGTGGGAGTGGGAGGTCCTGTGTCCTGTGTCTGTGGGGTGTATGAGGAGAGCTGAGAGCTGACTGCTTGGCCATTGATCTGTCAGCAGATAGAAAAAAAACAGCAAACCAAGACCTGGGCAGCCCACAGTGGGCATCACTGGCAGGTGGCAGTGAGCAGTAGGCAGGGCAGAGCAGGCTGTGGGCCTAGAGCTCCCCCCATGCCCTAGGCATGATGCTGGGGGCCTACCCTGACCTCACAGCTGATTTCTCAGATGAGGAACAGGACAGCACCACCAGTAGAGAGCAGAGCTGGACACTGAAGTCCAGGCTGGGCTTTTTTCAAAGCCAAGTGGGGTGTGTCCCCACTCTCCCTGCAGGAGGGAGTCAGAGTCTGGGCCTTGGTCAGATATGAGGAGACAGGAGTTTGGCATAAGGAAGAACCAACGGACCTAGTCACCAGACCCTGAGAAGGCCGGGGTTGACCTAGCAGCAGAGCTGACTCAACACCCAATTGTGTTTTATGTTTAGTCCTTGACATTCAAACACAGAACCAAACATCAAACGCTACTTGACAGTTACTCCTTTTCTTAGACTTCTGGGGCTTTCTAAACAGCCCTCTCCAGGCAGCTCTGGCTTTCCTTCCAGGTAGTAGTGGGGTGTTGAGCAAGAATCCCAATGGGAGAGGTGCTCCTCGTCTAACTCATTCCTTAGAGCTGTCTGAACTGCTCCTCTTTCCCAACAAGGCTGCTTCATTGGAGGAGAGTCTATAGGCACCAGAATCATGTGGCCCGAGAACCAGAAGCTCCAGCCCTTGCTTCCCAGCTGTGCATGATAGGGAAAATGATGGAACCTGTCTGAGCCTTGATTTTCTCACCTGGGATTAGGAAATATGGAACTTAACTCACAGAACATTATAGTCTGATATCTGTGATGTTTAGCACCGTGCCTGACACATGCTCATACTGTAGGTACAGAGAACACACATCACTTAGTTCCATTTAAACACAAAATAATATGCAGCTACCCAAAAAAAAAAGCAGTTCCCAAGGAGTCACTAAAGTGGACCTAAGCCCCTCAGTGTAATGTGTAGGTGGCAGATTGAAATACTAATCTGTGCTGCTGATGGCAATGAAGACAATAGCAGGACTTTAGTGTGTGCTAGAGGGGTGAGGTTTGCTAACCTGTAGAACTGTGGGACTGGGGCCTTTAAGAAACAAACTTTAAAGGCACCTGTAGGTACCAAAATGCAGGAAGGAAACTGCAAGTTTGATTATATGCAACAAAGGGAAAACACAATCTGATGTTTAGAACCTTAGCTGTTAGTTATGAGCAAGAAGTACTAGAAATTAATGCGAAAGCGATACTGAAGTGAATTAATTAAAAAGAAAATCAACCTAAGCTTTCCAAGACCTTCACAGATGATTTTCTTGGAGGCCCTTAGGAAATAATAATTTGACTTTGACCCAGGCCATCTCTTTCTGTATTTCTTCTCAGTAAACCTAATGTGTGTCTCACAGCCAGCTCCCTAGCATCTTTGTGAGCACAGCTGCAACTTTGAAAACCTCCAGCTACAGAGAATTAAGTTAGAGCAAGGAGCATCCAGACTCCCGAGCAACCCTCTGGGAGCAGAGAAGCACAGTCCGAAGGTATTGACAGTGGCTCTGTAGCCATCACAGAGGCACTGGCCGCAGGTGACTGCTATTCCAGCACGCCCATCATTCATACCCCACCAGGGCTGCTGCACCTGCAAACTAGGCTGAACTTGGGTTTGGGTGTTCTTCCAGGACAGGATGAGCAGAAAGCTATAAAGGCAGCACAGTCATCCCCTTGAAGGATGTTGGCCAGTGTGCATGGCCCCAAGTGAACACCTGCAGAGTAGGCTATAGGGAATGGCTCATGTCCCTGCAGGATCAGGAGACTCTGCTCGAGGAGCCCAGAAACACAGGATCGGGCTGCTCTAGAGAGTGATATAGATGAGTTTCTGTTCATAAGTGGTCAATAAATGGGATTCTGGTGCAAGACTACTTGATCAGAGCAGTTAGTTCTTCACACCTCAGTTTTCTGCGATTCCCAAACACAGTTGCTAGCCACAAAATTGTTCTTGAAAGTGCTTTGATGATGTAATATAGCAACACTCTTTGGGGGGCGGGGGTACAGAGATTAAACCCAGGAGTGCCTAACCACTGAGCCACACCCTTACCCCTTTTATTGTTTATTTTGAGACAGAGTCTCACTAAGTTGCTTAGGGCCTCGCTACGTTGCTTAGGGCCTTGCTAAGTTGCTGAGGCTGTATTTGAATTTGTGATCCTCCTGCCTCAGCCTCCCAAGCTGCTGGGATAACATGCACATGCCAAGCTTCAACACTAAATGAGGCATCTGATCAAGCTGTTAAGATTATAATCCAGAGGCTCTTAATAATAGAAACTTAACCTTTACATTACTAACCTGTAAAATATATTACAAATTTATTTGTATAGAACTAAATTTGGGTATATTGAAGAAAATCAGTGCAATGTCGGTTTTGTCAAATATCTTTAAGGAAATCCAGTTCTGTTTTAGGCATATGCACCTGTGTCTGTTTTAGAATACTAGGTTATTTCAGTGTGAATGTATATTTACACAATGAGTACTAACAGAGTCCAAGGTATATATAAACCATTATGGTCTGTTCAAGCATCTCTTTCCAGTTGACACAATGACTTTTCATTACTTTGAAAAATGAGATTACTAATGAAAGGCAAAGTTTTGTTGCTATCTAAATGAGCAGAAATTCCAACTGCATGGCTTCCAGATTAATTGTGGGTATTTATAAGCTATTCATTGATGATTCCTAATTCACATTGCCCACTTAAAACTACACAAACTTGATCAGTTGGGATCCAAAGGCGATGGTGCCAAAGGCTGTGTTTAGTCAAAATACTTTAAGAAATTATTACAATCATATATGAAACCTGCATAGAGGACTTTGCTAAACAAAGAGCCAAAAATCAGATAAATTTAGTCCTTGACCTCTAAAAACTTAAAAATTGCTAAAATCAAAAACAATTCTGATTTTATGTTGATGGGAATGGAACTTAGAAAAATTGAGGTAAATATAGAACCAAAGAATCCCATCATTATTGCTATTTTTTTTTTTTTGTACTAGGAATTGAACTCAGGGGCACTCAACCACTGAGCCACATCCCCAACCCTATTTTGTATTTTATTTAGAGACAGAGTCTCACTGAGTTGCTCAGTACCTCACTGTTGCTGAGGCTGGCTTTGAACTCGTGATCCTCCTGCCTCAGCTTCCCAAGCTGCTGGGATTACAGGTGTGCTCCACTGCACCCAACTGTTATTGCTAATTTTTAATGTGTATTACCAGGAACTATGTTCTTCTATTGTTAGACAGTTGTCTGTTACTGTAACAAAATATCTGAGATAAATCAATGATAAAGAGGCAGGGTTTTTTATTAACAGTTTTGGAAGTTCCAGTCCATGATTCATTGGCCCTATTGCTTTGGGACCTGTGACAGACAGCACATCATGGCAGAGAGAGCATGGTAGACCAAAGCTGCTCATCTCTTGGCTGGGACACGGAAAGAGAGAAACAGAGAGAGTGAAGGGAAGAGAGAAGAAGGAAGGTGTGGGGTCCCACTGTCCCCTTTAAAAATCATGCCACCAGTAACTGGAAGACCTCTCTCTAGGCCCTACTTTTCTTAAAGTCTCCACCACCTCCAGCACTAGGCTCGGGAGCAAGCCTGTGTGCCTTTGGGGAATATTCCATATGGATAGCAACCCCCAATTACTGGGAGCCACGCAGGCATGTGTGTCAATAACTAGGTCTCCTGACTTCACTCTGCCTAGAAAACTTTGCATCCAAGCTGGGCGTGGTGATGCACACCTGTAATCCCAGTGGCACAAGAGGCTGAGAAAGATGGATGGGGAGTTCAAAGCCAGCCTCAGCAAAAGTGAGGCATTAAGCAACTCAGTGAGACCCTGTTTCTAAATAAAATACAAAATAGGGATAGTGGTGTGGCTCAGTAGTTGAGTGTCCTGAGTTTAATCCTAGTACCAAAAACAAAAAATTCTGCATCCAGATCACTGTCCCTCCAGCCTCTGCTTATCCACCTTCCCCCAACAGGCAATCCTACTGTCTCCCACCCTGCTGGGTGTAGCATCCCCCTATTTTTCTCATACTATTTCTCACTGTCTAAAGTTGTTTTGCTCATTCACTTGCTTGTTAGAATGAACACAGGGAAATGTTTAGCTCATCATTATAGCCTCAGTATCTTAAAGAGTTCCTGGGACCCAGTAGGTGCTAAGTAAATAGAATCTGGAGTGAGATCTCTTCCTAACAGTTGAGATTTGTGGTTTGAAATGCTATTTTAAAATGACATTCAACCAGCTGACTCTGACTGCTCTTGAGGGCAGGGAGCTACATCTGTCTCCTCTGCTTCAGATTCTCACTGAGTGCCTACGAGGTGCCAGGGAGGCAGGACAGTCAGTGAGCCTGCATCCTGGCCAAGCCCTGGTGACAGACAGGAAATCCTTGATCATTTTGTGAGAGTCATAGATCAGCAATGCATCTCTTCCATTTCTGACAGAGTCATCTTTAAAAAAAAATTTAAAAACTAGAATAGTTTTAACAGTCTAACTTTTTTTCTTTGCCTTGATAGCTGGTCCAGCTGTTGTTTTCCATATCTCCACCAGCTGATTCTTGCCAAAGAGTGGCGGAATTTGGAAAACACGTGTGTGTCTGTGTGAGCCGATGGTCCCGCTCCGCCAGTCACTACTTCTCTCTGCCACACACTTGGAGGGATCTGCCACCTCCCTCTAGGATGACACATGTTTTCCTTTGGGTATCAAGAGGGCCCTTTGGAGCATCATTCTCATACTTGGAGGCTCTGGTTCACGAGCTGGGAGGAAGGTGGCCTCCCTCTCCTGCAGTATGATTGACATGACTCCAGTTGTGAGTGGCTTCTCCTCAGCCCAGGGGCCTCAGGCTTTCTTTACCTTACCTCCTTGCAGACCCTGGAGGATTAAGCCAGGTGTTCTCTCTTTGTGACTCAGCGGCTCACCTTGCCCTCTGCCATTCTGTGTGTTCGCAGTGGGAAGTCGACAAAAGGGAGAGCACTCGGCAAGAGTGACTGGCAAAGAGAAATGTGTGTATTTCTTCTGGCAAGGCCGGCATTCAACTGTGAGTGAGAAGGGAACCTCAGCTCTGATGACCGTGGAGCTGGACGAGGAAAGGGGGGCCCAGGTAAGTCCCAAGGAGCTGCTACTCGGGGACTCCAGATGATACTTTCTCCTGAGGACCTGATTCTAATGAACAAAGACAGCATCATGCAGGGCACTTTTAATCCAGGTCCTGTTCTGTAGATTTTAGACTCTGCCTCACATTTCATCTTCCCACGCATTGTAATATGAGCAGAAGGGAAGAAAACACTGTCTGCAAATAGGAGAGCCACGAAGCAAGTGTGCATGGCCAGTGAGTGTTTCTGAAAGGTTTCCACCGGTGTTACAAATACAATGGTTGCCATTATCCTCTTCTAAAATAGGAAAAGATTTCCTGAAGAACCGCCATCCTGCAGAGCAGTGTTGGCTCAAGAGCCTTAAAAATTCAACTATTCCATTTTCACACCATCCACCTGAAGGAAAGGCCAGAGACTTCTGTAGAGCATGGGGTATTCCCATGGGGAAAATCCCCCAAGTGATTTTTCTAGAACACATCAGAGCACATCTCTACCACACAAACGATAGTCCCAGTGAACTCCCAGTGGTTTCCAGTACCTTTGTGGGTGTCCCCACCCATCTCCCCCCACTCCTCTTCCTCCCACTCCCCCCACCCAGGCCTGCTTACTGACCCAGGAGCCCTCTTCCTGCTCACCTCAGGCCCTGGGTGCTCTTTCCCCCTCTGGACCATGTTCCCATGTACAGATGTGCATAACTGTACACCTCCCGTGATGCAGGTATTGGCTCACATCACCCTTATTTTGTCCAAATCTCCCCATTTGGTTTGTTTTCAGTACACTAGAAACTACATAGTCATTTTTTATCTATTTATTAAAGAGACTATCTGTCCTGGTCTTCTAGCCCCGGAACCTGCATAATGCCTATTGGGTACTAGAGCCCAAATCCAAGATTTTATGAATTTCTTTTTAATGTTTGGATGATCTATGCCACACAGCTCATCCTTGAATACCCATATTAAGGTCAATTAAGAGTTGACTCTGGGGAATTCAGAAAACTTGACTCCTTATGTAAATATTTTTTCCATCTTGAGTGTATGATTAACACACTCATGTGAAGAGAGCAGAGAAATTTTCTCCAGAAATACAGCCACATTCATTCAGCTTTCCACAGCCTTGGGAACCAGTCATATTCCTAAAAAAAAATTATAATGAATATTTTCTACTATGGATCACATGTTAGAAATAGTGATTAGCAATGGTTGTATTTTAATTTATTCCTAATAGTTGGTAATTTCAACTGCTTTTTTTTAAATAAAGGCCAAGCATGACTATATCTTAATCATGCCTTCAAAAGCATTCTTAAAGTTTTCAGTCTTAATCTTTTTAGTTGGAGCATCTCATTTTTTGTCAGTCCAACAAGTGGAAATTCATTTTAGACAGATGAAATGCTGCCCCAAATCAGCACCTGATTGCACAAAACAGGCCCTGAGGTTGACAACTCATGAGGTGAATTGTTCCTACCTTTCTGGGCCCCCCAAATGCCAGATCAACAAAATAGTTCCTCTTTAAGGGAAAATGTCTTGCCAAAGTGAGAGTGAGCGGATTCTACTTTAACCTTATTTATGGTGCAGCTAACACCTGATGAGACAGTGCATGAACAGGCACAGGAGGCTGTGGGAGAGGCACATTGCTTTGTGAGATGCTGCTGGGATGATGTGGGAGTCAGCTTTCTCTACTATAACAAACAACTGATATAATCAACTTAAGATGAGAAAAGGGTTATTTTGTGCTGGGAGCCATTAGCCAAGTAGGTATGACAATTTCCTTGCCAGCGTACCCCTTTATTTATTTATTTATTTTTTATAATGGCTCCCAGCAATTTTGTTCATGGTTTCAAACATTTTAGTTCATAATCAGATGGTCCTGTTGGTTTTTAGCTGTGGTGAGGCCACACATCATGGTTCAGGTATTTGGTGAAGCAAAACCTCTTACCTCAAGGCCAGGAAATGAAAGAGAAGAAGAGAAGGGTCTGGAGTCCCACTCTCCCCTCCAAGGGCACACCCCCACTGCCTAAAGACCTCCCACTCCAGCCCCCCTCTTGAGGGTTCCACCACCTCCCAACAGCACCAGCCTGAGGACCAAGTCCTTGACACATGGACCTTTGGAGAATAGTTAAGATCCAAAGTGTAGCAGATGTATTTGCAAAGAATACATTTTCCTCCCAGAATTACTAAGTCACGATTAGTCATTGTCATTGCTGAAAAATGTACTTTCTTAAAAATATGTTTAATTGTGTTACATAATGTTGTATCCATACCACAGATAAAAGTCTCAAAATTCATGTTTCAAAAGAATATTCAGTGTTAGAAAACTAGTGATGAAAATGAGGTTATAAGGCAACAGGAAATATCACTCCTACTTTGTTTAGGAGAAAATACAAAACTGAAAAACACTTGAAAGGAATCTTAATAGTGCTTATCTTCAGATGACAGAAGTATCACTGACTTTTGTGTATATGTCTTTGTTTTTCAGATTTTTCCACCATAGGCAGGTACTGTTTTTGTGACTTTGAAAGCCCCATCACTGTCATCTGTTTTATTTGTGTTTGAATTTGAAGGTCCAGGTTCTGCAGGGAAAGGAGCCCCCCTGTTTTCTACAGTGTTTCCAGGGGGGGATGGTGGTGCACTCAGGGAGACGGGAAGAGGAAGAAGAAAATGCACAAAGTAAGTCACTTTTACTACTGGAATTTGATTTTTTTTTTTTCCTTTTCCCAGAAGGTATTTTTATAGGCAAGGGGATCTAAATAAAGTTAGTAGTCTATCTTCATATAGCTGTGGCTTTACCATTAAAGTCTCCTAATGTTTGCCTGATAAATCAGCTTTATGGGGAGCTCATAAACCCCCCTGTCACCCCATGGAAGTTCTTCTGGGTTCCACCTTTGTATGCAGGAGACTGGAGTTTACTTCATCTTGAACTGAGTTCTCATGGTGGCTCTTGTCTACGGTGAATTTAGGAGAATTTTAAAAATTAGTAGATCTTTTATTAAAAATTAGAATCTTTTTGTTAGTCAATATCAAGAGAGAGAGAGAGACACAGAGAGAGAGAGAGAGAGAGAGAGAGAGAGAGAGAGAGAGAGAGAGAAAATGTTAGTTTTATAGCTTTATGGCTTATTTTTACATTTTTAAAAAAATGGTTTTTCTGCAATATGGACTTTTAGCAACCTGCTTCTAATTCCAAAAGTATTTGTTTTCTGGGAAGACCACATGCTGTCATTGCTCAGCATGACTTCAGGCTGCAGGGGCCTCAGTCTCACCAGTCCCTTAAGTCCCTGCAATGTAGTAGCTGCCTTTGATGGCACAGCTGGGAACAGAAAGGGCAGCTTTCCCTGTCCCCAGCTCAGTCATAACTCTGTGTTGCTGACGCCCCCTACAGGTGAGTGGAGACTGTACTGTGTGCGTGGAGAAGTTCCCATGGAAGGGAATTTGCTGGAAGTGGCCTGTCACTGTAGCAGCCTGAGGTCCAGGACTTCCATGGTTGTTCTCAACGTAAATAAGGCCCTCATTTACCTGTGGCACGGGTGCAAAGCGCAAGCCCACACGAAGGAGGTTGGAAGGACTGCAGCAAATAAAATCAAAGAACAGTGAGTGTTGTGTGTGTGCAGAGCTCTCCACAAAAGGGGCTTCCTGGGGGACACAGGCAGGCTAAGCTGCAGAGGGTTCCCAAGACACTCCATGGATGCCCAGTGTCCTTAGAGCAACTTCAGCAAGGGATGTTATGAACATCATCAAGGACCTCAGACATCCCAAGTAGGTAGGTAAGGCACACATGACAACCAAGACTCCAGTCTGAGAGCTGCCCCCACTTTCTGAGTATTTACCTACCTCAATACAAGGTAACATTGAGCCAGGTGTGGTGGCATCTGCCAGGAGGAGTCACATCAACCTACTTGGGAGGCCGAGGCAGGAGGATCACTAGAGTCGGTAGTTCAAGGCCAGCCTGGGCAACATAACCAAAAAAAAACATAACCCTGTCTCCACAAAACGAGGGAGGGAGGAGGGAGAGAGGGAGGAATACAACCTTGAGAAGAGCAAGGGAAATGACCCAGCAACTTGTGAATGAGAAGCCTGGAATCCTTTGATATTTAAAAAGCAAGTGAAGAGGAAGATTCTTAGGCCATCAAAGTGCAGTTTGGTTTAGCTCATTCTCTGGGCACCAAAACAGCGGCTGCTATAAAACTTAGTATTGCATGGAGAGGGCAGAGAGGAGGAAGGAAGTCATGGCCTTCCATCAGGCAGAGAGAGAGAAGCAGAGTCTCAGAACATCACTCTGGGCCATGGAGCAAGAAGGGGGATGGTAAATGATACTCAGTGAGGTATCCAGGGACATTTGTGCCTCATCAAGTTTTCCACTTGGACTACTAAGGAAAAAACAAAGACAAAATACTGAAGAACTCTATTTATTCATTCAACAAATATTTATTGAGCACCCACATGATAACAAGCACAGATTTTGGGACTGGGGACTTGGCAGTCAAGGCACCTGTCTTTCTCCTCTCGAAGTTTGTGTTCTAGCAGAAGAGGACAAGAAATAGTGAAAAAAAAAAAAAAGTTGTGTTATTTATAAAAATGTATGTTATTTTCATTGCATATTATATGTAATTACACATTCCTCCCCAGGAGCCGGCTGACCCTTCCTTTTCTAACACAAACATAGTCATAAAGCACAGAATGTTTTTTCATTCATTAGTAAAAAATTGCTTTTAATTAGAAAGTAAAAGATAGTGAGCTGATCTGTAGATTTAGTCTTGAATAATTTTGTGCTGTCAACACTTTCTGGACTTATAATATTGACGTTTCTTCTGCGCAGATGTCCCCTGGAGGCAGGATTGCACAGTAGCAGCAATGTGACAATACATGAGTGTGACGAAGGATCTGAGCCACTGGGATTCTGGGACGCTTTAGGAAGAAGAGATAGGAAAGCCTACGACTGCATGCTTCAAGGTAAAGCCCCACCACAAACTTCCATCACTTGTTAAGATTCACTCAGCAATTTATTCAATAAACATGTCTGAAAAATGGGCTGTATCTAACACAATGAACCGGCCTAGGGGATGTCCCCCCGGGGCCTACAAAATGGAAATTGTTATGTGTCATGAAAGAGGTACATGTGAAGGAGGCTGAACGTGGAAAAGAAAAAGTGTTTCTTCTACCAAGAAAAAATCACACAAAGCTCCATGGAAAAGAGATGGGATTTTCACAGTGTCTTAGAAGTTGGTAAAGAAGAAAAGAAAATTCCAGGAAAGCCTATGAGCAAGAACATGATGTAAACCAGTAGAACAAGATGCTGCTTGGTTTGGCCAGCAGCTAGGATGCAGGGTAGAGGTGAGAGTTCTGTGAAGGAGTACGTCTGAACCAGATCAGGAAGGATCCTGAATTTGAACAAGGGACCAGAAATCCTGAGCCACCCACAGGGCTCTGCCATTTACAGAAGTCACAGGAGGAAGGGAAGGTTTGGAGGGCAATGTCAATCATATTCAATAGACACTTAATGAATAATGCATACTCAGTAGATGTTTAATAAATAAGCGGTCATGGTGAAAATTGCCAACAACCTGTGAACTTGAGAGAGAGTCATAGAGGATATGACCATGGTCTGCCAAAAGGGGTAGACAGGAGAAGGAAGCATTATGGGACCTTGTGCTTCATGCTGTAGCTCTTAACCTTTCAGGCACTGGTAGATGCCTGTGAGAAAGTAAAGGATACAGTCCTTAGAAAAGGGCATCGTAAAAAAATGTGGACTGTGTTGGTCAAGGTTTTTATATTAAAGGCCCATCAGCTAAAACCCATCATTTAAAGGACAGTAGACAAAGATGGAACACATGAGAAGTGAGGTCAGAAGAATGTCACAGACATCAAGAGAACATGTCATCAAAGAGGGGACAGTCACCACTGCTGATGGCACAGAGTTCAGGGATTAAGGACATTTCTTTCCAACATTTCCTTGTTAGATTGATGATAAGTTGCTCATCAGAAGTTTTTTTCCGACCAATGCCACATCAGCCCAACAGAGAGTGGCAGAGTGGCCGCCCCAGAGGTAGGAGAAGCCAGTGTAAAGTTGGAAACATTGAATAATAAAAGGAAGGGAAAACCATATGAATTGAGCATCCCTTATCCAAAATGCTTGGGTCCAGAAGTGTTTTGGAATTTGGATTTTTTTTTGAGATTTTGAATATTTGCCCATACATATCATGGAAGTGGGACCCAAGTTTAAATGCAAAATTCATTTTTGTTTCATATGTCCTTCAAACACACAGCCTGAAGATAATTTCATAGGATATTTTTGGTGTGCCTGTGTTTTTACTACAGCTCATCACATGAGATCAGATGTGAATTTTCTGCATGTAGCATTATGTCAGCACTCAAAAAGTTTTGGATTTTGGAGCATTTCAGATTAGGGATGTTCAACATGTAATAGGAGGAATATCAGAATCAAAAGGATGATATTTAGGCACTAGATGATCGAATTTGTTACCTGTCCTTGGCACCATTTCAGGATGGAGCAAAAGAATTCACCTGAGGGATTGAAATGTAGACATGGATGTTGAAATGGATGATTAAAGGAGGAAAGTCCATGAGTGGCAGGAATTAAGGGGACAAGGGAAATGCACCTTAGGAAGAAGATGACATCTTTGTTGCTTATTGAACATCTTCTTTGTGTCCAACTTTATGATGAAAGTTATGATTTGAGCCTGTAAAAATGCCCATTGTTAGTGAGAGGTGACAAATGTAGATGATCTGTAAAGGACCACCTGGGGAGAAAGCCTGTGAGGCGCACAAAAGAACAGACACAGACTGAGAGTATAAGGAGGTGGAGCAGAGAGGAGTGAAGTGAAGAAGCAAAGAAAGAGAAGTGTAGAATGAAGTATCGGCTCCTCCCTCCTGCCGAGTTTATTAACTCAAAAAAGGTTACATATTACCCATCACACCTGACTACACTCTAACCAGAGTGCTAGCTAACGGAGATAAGGTCCAGCTTAATACAAACACAGAGCCTCTCACATCCAAGGACGTTACTATGGAAACCAGGTAGTGCATCCACATAGTTATCTTAACAGCCTCAGGGGGGTACTGCTGGGCATTCTAATCCTGGGAATCAGGGCACCAGTTATGGGGGTGGGGGGATGCTTCCCTGTCTGTTTCCACGGTCAGAATACCTGTAATAACCCATGGGTGGGGTGGGGAAGCAGCACCTTGGAGGACACTCATTCTCCTAGGGGGAATAGTGTGGGCCACCCTACCATACCCCGTTATCACTTCTTGCTGCTACAGAATCAAGGCTTCCTTAGTAACAGTTTTCCATTGCTGTGACAAAAATACCAACACACAACTTAAAAGAAGAAAAGGTTTATTCCCGTTACCTTTCCCAGTTTACATGAGCATCTTCAACTTACTGGAGCTCACTTAGTTCTGAGTAACTGGTAATCTTTTCCAGAAAACTCCCTTGAATTGCCAGAATCTGCTTTGCAACAAAGTGCCCTTTACCAATGCACATTTTTAGCCATTTGTATTTCTACTTTGGCAAATGTTTATTTATGCCTCTTGTACTTTTTATTGTGCTATTTATCTTTTCCTTTTTTAAAATTTTTATTTGATACTGGGGATTGAACCCAGGAGCTCTTTACCACTGAGCTATATACCCAGTCCTTTATATTTTTTAATTTGAGACAGGATCTCACTCTTAAGTTGCTGAGGGTCTTGCTAGATTTCTGAGGCTGCCCTTGAACTTGGGATCCTCCTGCCTCCATCTCTCAAGTAGCTAGAATTACAGACACCTGCCACACTGTGCCTGGCTTACCTTTTCTTTATTTATGTACCTTCATATATTAAGGATACTAACTAGTTGCTATATTATAAATATTTCCCATTTTGCTATGTGCTATGTCATTATTAAAATTTTATACAGTAATTTTTAAATTTTTATATAATTCAGGTATAAATATTTTCCCCTTGGATTACTTCTTCTATTTTTGCAGTTAAACAGGTTTTTCCTGGAGTGGGGGTGTAGCTCCATGATTGAGTACTTGCCTAGCATGTGCAAGGCCCTGGGTGTGATCCCTAGCACCACAAAAAAAGAAAAGAAAGGCCTTCTCTGTCTCCAAGCTCCGATGAATCCTACCTATGTTTCCACTAATTCCTTGAATCGTGTCATGTTTTGCCTTGATTCTTGAATCTATCTGGAATTTACTTTGGTGTACACATGGTGCTCTGTTCTTTTTTCTTTCAAAGATCCTGGCAGCTTTAACTTCGCTCCCCGCCTGTTCATCCTCAGCAGCTCCTCTGGAGATTTCTCAGCCACGGAGTTTGTGTACCCCGCCAGTGCCCCCACTCTGATCAGCTCCATGCCCTTCCTGCAGGAAGATCTGTACAGTGCCCCGCAACCAGGTGAGGCCTGTGCAGGCACAGCTCATGCTGAGTACCTTCCAGAGGGCCTTTGTATTTTATGTTAGTATTTATCAGGCAGTTTCTGTTTGCCAAGTACACTGCCAGAATGTTTGCCTTTCTTGTCTAATTTAGTCCTCACACCTACCCTGAAAGGAAGGAGAATGAGATCAACCACATATTACAGCCTAAAGAACTAAAGCTCTGTTACTTCATCGCCCAAAGGCACCAGTTAATAAGTGGAGTGCAGATATCATTTTTTTGGTTCCTTCTATTGTCCTAGCCTTCCTCTCAGATTTATTGCTCCATGGTCCCCGAGTGGACTGCCCTTGCTCCAGCCATCATGTTTGCATTCAAAACAGAAAGAGAAGGGAAGGACAGTGTTAGCCATGTCTCTCTCCTGTTTGACAGATAAAGCCAAAACTTTCCCCGATCCCCCATCAAATTTCTGCTCACATTCCATTGGCCAGAGCTTGTCATGTGGCCACCCCAGCTGCAAGGCCACCCTGGGAAAGCAAGCATCTGCTGAGTTAGCCAGAAAACAGCGTCTGCTACGGCAAGACTCACAGCAAAGCTCACACTTACCCAGGTCTTCTGATCCCAAGGTCAGGGCTGTTTCCACCAGCCCACCATTTCAGGGCTCCCCATCTTGTTGGGACCATCACAGGAGCCTGAGCTTTAAAACCCTCCCACCCTCGTGTCAATCAAGCCTGAAGCCAGCAGCCCCTGAGCTCATGGTCTGTCCCTTCTTGTGTTACAAGAGCCTGAAGCCGCAGCCAGGCACCTGACCTTAACACTGGTCATCCCAGTCACCATGGAAAGTTTGGCCAGCACACATGTCATGCTGTGAGAGACATTACCAAGTGTCTAAAAGGAGCTGCGCCCTGCCCTCTTCATCCCGGGACTCAGGATGAGTTCTCAGCCTCCACTGGGCTATTATTTTAAAGCAGGTTGTGTCCCCAGAATCCCAAAATGCATGTCAGGAACGAACTCAGGATGAAATGAGCTAGGAAGTCGGAGATCCCTTTTGCCGTGTAGAATATCATTCAGGCCAAAACTTGTGGGAGGAAAGATGGGAAGGAAGAGCCAGAACAATTATGAGTTTTAAAGCCCAAACCTCTCTAAGAAGACCATAGACTTAAATCATTGCTAAGCAGTCAGACAAGAGCATGAACGCCAGAGGGCAAGGAAGATGTGCTGTCCAGCTTTTATTCTGCTCTTTGGAGATACATGGAAGCTGACAGACCCTTGAGGGTTTAGCTGGACCCTACATATATCCAGAAGGGCCTTGGGCAGGCCTGGGGTTGCGCTGGGGTGAGGGATGAGGACTCAGAGGAGAAGGAAATAAAGACACCTCTATTCTCTGCCTAAAAGGCTTTCCCAGGTTAACTACCAAAGGGCTGAGGTGTGCCAGGGCCTTCCATGTGTGCCTTTGCCTCTGCGCTTCAGGGAGCTGTCACCCCTGACAGGGCAGGACGGGGAGAGGCACCCCTGACATTTAGGGCAGAGGAGAGGAAGTGCCAAGCAGCAGCTTCTGATTATGTGGTTCTCTTCTCACACTCCCAGCACTTTTCCTTGTTGACAATCACCATGAGGTGTACCTCTGGCAAGGCTGGTGGCCCATCGAGAACAAGATCACCGGGTCTGCCCGCATCCGCTGGGCCTCTGACCGGAAGAGCGCCATGGAGACCGTCCTCCAGTACTCCAGAGGTGAGAGCTGTCGGCAGGGACGGGCTGGGGACCCTCCAGAGGCCCAGGCCCATCTTACCTTTCTGCACTTGCCCACCAGCCTTGATAAAGCCAGGCAGATGGCAGCAAACCAACTTTTCCCCTTTCACTTTTTGAGGCTTATGAATATCATGATCAGTACATTCTTGGCTGCCATCATAAGTGAGAATTCATTTTATCTTTCCTATTATGAGATCATCCAACTTGTATCATCATCCAGCCTAAAGGTGTATTGTGGAACACTCCAGAATAACTAAACCCCTATTGCCCTGGGGATTAATAATGCCCTGAGACAAGCTGACCTCTTCCCATTATCTGCAGGCAGCCGTTGACAAGAAATCTCCCCCAAACTGGCCGAAAAGTCGATGTCAACCTTTTTGTCATTTGTTATTATTTTTAGTATCACCTCCAAAAAGAAAGACTTATAGTTCATCCTCCTGAAATATGTGGTCTTTTAGATGACATAAAGATGCCAATAATTAATTTCTTATCTGAATGTTTATAGTTTTATCAATTAGCTTGATATCACTAAGTATGTACAATTGATTCTCGAAAAGCTCTTTCATAATAAATAGCTTTTTAAACTTTGCACCAAATGTCAAAGCCACAGTGGACGTATAAAATGCTGTCATTAGCAGCCTAATGCTATTACAACTTTGTCCTATGTTGGGAAGTCAGAGGAAACCCTCCTGAGGTGAATAAGGAGGAAGCAAATGTCCCATCAGGAAGAGACTTCAGCCCTTCCAGGGACTCAGAAGCATTTTTGTTGGTTTCAGGAGGGAGAGTCAGGTCGATTCCATGTTACTTCTATAGCCATAGGCATGAAATTAACATTTTATATAAACTTCATCTATGTGTTGTTATGAACTATTCATAACCCACATTTTGAGCATAAGAGTTCTGAGCCAAAGAAGAAGAGATTTCAAAGGAAAACAGAGGAAGACAAGGCCCTTGGTTCTGCCAACATTTACATTCTGTGTAACTACAGGAAAGAATCTCAAGAAACCGCCCCCCAAGTCTTACCTTATCCACGCTGGTCTGGAACCCCTGACGTTCACCAACATGTTTCCCAGCTGGGAGCACAGGGAGGACATTGCTGAGATCACAGAAATGGTGAGCACACTCCCTGCCCCTGCCTTCTAGACCACTGGTGGATGTCACCTGGGGAAGACGCATCCAATTGCACTTTGAGAGTGGGAACACATTCTGTCTTTTGCAACATGCTCTCCTGTCTACATAGAATTAGCTTAGGAAATGGAGAAGCCTATTGGGAAATCAACTGAACTCTTTTGGTTATTTTCCACACAAGTACTCAGATTTCAAATACTTACAGGCAAAGATGAATCTAATTAGTTTGAAGACTATCTATAAATAAAAGCTGCCACCTCTTCATTCTGTTAGCTTAGCAAACCTATTGCTTCTCAAGGTCCATGTGATGTGGGCCAAGTCAGGACATTTCAGATGTTAGCCTTGTGTAGAAGAGACACAGAATAAAATGGTGAAGAATGGGTGTGTTCACATAACTCAGGGGACGAATGTGTCGTGACTTTCATGAGAAGGTATTGCTCAGTATCTCGTAAATTATTGTCTTTTATGCGACTGCCTGGTATACATGAGATATCCATGGCACCTTTTATCTACAGAAAGATATTCTTATCCAGAGTGTTTTATTTTCCAGCCTCAGAGAAAGAAGCTATGTAGAATTTAATTTATGAGTTAAATTCATTCATTCATTCGCTAGCTGTACCAATTCCAAGGGTTTCTTTGGTTTGATGGCAGAGTTTCGTTCCATTTTGATTTGGTTGCTATGTAGGAGAAAACTGTTTTTCTGGAAGAAAGAACCTGATTGTATTTTATAGGAAATGTTGAGTAGTTTTAAACAAACAAAAAAGAATCTGCAGCAGCATGTCAATAGAGAGAGCCTATGTAATACTGCAAACGTTGCTGCTTTGTCCAACTTCTCTTTTTGTTTTTGGTGCTAAGGATGTAACCCAGGGCCTTGGATGTGCCAGACAAGCACTCTACCATTTAGCTACATCCCTGGACCCTTTAGCCTGTCTTTCTTTAACCAAATGGATTTGATCTACACAAGGAAAGGGCTGATTGAAGCCTGATCTCTGACAAAGAACAAGATGGTCCTATTATAAATAATAAATATAAACAATAATACATAAATAGTAAATATGGGCTTGCCAAACCCAAAAGCTGCAAGGATTACCAGCACCACAGCTGCCTCCTACTGTCCAAGCTGAAGAATGTGAATTGCCATCAGAGTTCTGTCCTCACTGCAGGTCCTTGGGGGTCAGCCATGGGCCATGTAATGAGGTACAGGCCTGTGGGATCTCAGCCAGTGAAGGACCGGGCTTCCCACACCAGCAGACTGGACCTGTAATTAAGATTCACTGAGTGCTCACTCTGCGCTAGGCACTGCTCCAAGTACTTTACATTTACTTTTCTCATTTAATTACCAGGACAGTCCATTAAGATTCATCTTATTTTTATCCCTGTTTTGCCAGTGTAGGAGCAGAAAGCAGAAAGTCACTTGTCCTACGTCTCAGAGCCAGTGAAAGGCACAGGCAGGCTCATTTCTAAGACCCCTCTTGACCACTGGTCTGAATTTGGCAACAGATCAGAGTCATTCATTTCCCCCATCCACCTGCCCAAAGGGAAGGCAGCCCGTCTGGGATCCAAGTTTAATGGAAGAAGATAATTTATCCAGAAAAACTGTTCAGATTAAATGCACACACTTGTTTAAGAACAAAAGAAAATCGATCTATTCTCATAATGTTCTAGGTACATTTGGTGTGTGTGTGTGTGTGTGTGTGTGTGCGCGCGCGCGCGCGCGCGCTGAGGGGATGAATCCAGAGCCCTGTGGGTGCTAATTTTATTCTATTATCTGGATGTTTAGACTTCAGATTCAATAATCTTATTTCATAATTCACTCTTGGGAGAGTCCCTAAACATTTATTTTCCTAGTGGTGCTGGTGATCAAACCTAGAACCTTGTGTATGCCAGGCAAGCACTCTACCACTGAGTCACACGCCAACCTTCTCAACACATTTTTTGGAGGCAGCCCTGACACAGGATTTATTTGAAACTTCATGTAGGGCAAAAAATCATCTAGAAGTCAGGAGAACCTTGGGGCCGTGGGCTGTTCCCCTACGTTCAACAGCCCTCTTCTCTGACAGTGATTGCAAGCACTTGATAAAACGTGTTCAAATGTGGGATACACTGAGTTCTCTCCGCTCCCTCCTCTTCAGGACATGGAAGTTTCGAATCAGATCATCCTTGTGGAAGAGGTTTTGGCCAAGCTCTGCAAAACCATTTATCCACTGGCTGATCTCCTCGCCAGGCCACTCCCGGAAGGAGTGGATCCTCTAAAGCTTGAGATTTATCTCACGGATGAAGACTTTGAGGTGAGTATTACTTCAGGTGGATGGGAAGGAGGCAGCAGCCCTGTTCGGAGCAGCCTTTCACTCAGGCTGGCTTTTCTTGTCTTCCACTAGTTTGCACTGGACATGACAAGAGACGAATACAACGCGCTGCCCACGTGGAAGCAGGTGAACCTCAAGAAAGCAAAAGGCCTGTTCTGAGTGGGAGAGGAACTGTGGTGGTCACTTTCAATACCACTGGACCAGAAAAAATGAATATTTTTTTGGACTGGTATTTTTTTTTTTTTAAAGAATAGTATTTTTAAAACAAGAGTTTTTCAGAACCTGACCTTATTAACTATTCTGCGCATCCCAGAGTTGTGCATTTTGTAAATGTTTAAGAGAACTCTTTGGAAACTACCTTTCCACAGTTCAGGGGTGATGTCAATAAAAGCATCAGTCATAAGCAGCGAGCGACTCCCCAGCAGCGGTTACAGCACTGCCCTCTTGGTCCAGCAAAAGCATTGCCTTTTTTTGGTTCGTTTGTGTTTTTTTTTTTTTTTTTTGAAGCAGTTCTCTTTATAAAGTGTTATTTTGATAGTTTGTGGATTCTAAAATATATATATTTATATAAACACCGTATAAATCAATATGTATTTAACAAAGCAATATGTATTCATTCACTTTTCTGTTGTTGTTGTTTTTTGGTGTCAAAATATTATTAAAAGGTAGATGGAGTTGCTTCTGTTGAATTAGGTCTGCCACCCATCTGTATGCTCACGTGCGATCAGAAGCCTTCCTTCGGCGTTAGTCTGACTTGTTCTGAGTACTGCTTCCGGTGCTAAAACGAACAAAGCATTTGTACTTAAGAGCATGGACTTTGGCGAGTCTGTGTGAAACCAACCTTTCTACCTTAATATCTCCCCCAAAATGTATAGTGCCTTGATTTATGTACAGTTTATATACAGAAATGTTTGCTCTGCATTTTTTTTTGATGATGGTTTGGAACATTATTTACAGTTTTACTCTCAAATAGTAGAAATAAAAACATCTCAGTTTCTAATAACTATTGTAAACATTACACATGTCATTTTGTGACAGGACTCCCAAATAAAGACTTCAGGATAATCACAACAATTAACTGATTGATTCACATTAAATTCCAAGCATGTTCTTTGATGGGGGAGGAAACAGATTTTGTTTTTATAATTGTCAACCTCGTACCACTATTTTGCCATTAAATATTCGCTGTTGTAACTTTGAATTTAGTTTAGGGCAGTATTGTACACAAGGTCGTAAATAGATATTTGACCCATGAAATTAATTCTGAGTACTATGGTGAAGACATAGTTTTACAGACCATCATCAGAAGCTTTTAACTCTACCACTATGTACATTTCAGTTTCAGGACCTCGGTGCCTTTCAAAAAAAGAGTGGATGTTTAAGGTACATGGGAAACAAAGTGAGTCTGGAAACTCCTTTGCAAGTTCCTATGTTCTTAATATACCAAATCCAGGGCTGGGGATGTAGCTCAGTGGTAGAGCACTTTCTTAGCATGCTCAAGGCTCTGGGTTTCATCACCAGCACCACATATGACAAGAAATAGAGAGAGAAGGAGAAAGAAAGAAAAGGCAGAGAGAGAGAGGGAGAGGGGGAGAGGGAGGGAGGGAGGGAGAAAGAGAGAGAGGAAGGGAGGGAGGGAGGGAGGGAGAAAGAGAGAGGGGAAGGGAGGGAGGGAGGGAGGGAGAAAGAAAGAGAGAGAGAGGGAGAGGGAGAGAGAGAGAAAAAAAAAATCCATGGTTTTGAACAGATTCTACCATGAATCATTACAGTCCTTTCCCGATCCTTTTTAGTCTAAGTTTAACATATTTTATAATCACACATTTGCCTTAAACTTTATAAAGATGTGTCCCATCCTAGGACTGTACTAGGGTCAGGGGCTTATGAAACACTCCTGGTCCCACCACATTATGATTGTGTGATACTGGGCAAGCACTGAAATTACCCACCGTGGCTTCCTTAAGAAAGGAGACAGTAACTAGCTCTCCTGCCTGCATCACAGGATTCTTGGCAAGGACAAAGTAGAAGCTCTTAAGAAATTGTCAAGTGCTAGATACCTGCTGTTATTAATATTATTGTGATGATAGCTGAAAGAGGAAAGCATGAGCATTGAGGACCTTGTGCACCTAGAAATTATAGATCAAATAAAACCAAGTGGCGTCTGTGGGAAAACCTGGGGAGTATCACAAAGAGGGAGACTGAGCTGCCAGCATCTGTAGCAGACTAGAAATTCACCTACATTCTTAGACATACAGAAAGTATATTAGGGTTCTCCAAAGAGACAGACAATTGGAGATAAGTGATTGATAGATGATGGGTGAATAGATGATGATAGATGATAAATACATGATAGATATATATGATAATCATGATGAAGATTGATAAATAGACAGAAATGACAGATGGATGATAGGGAGTTTAGGCTGTCTGCTGGCTGGAGACCCTGGAAAGCCCGTACATGGCTGTCCAAAAATAAAGTCTTCAGAACCAGAGATAGCCCAGGGAGCTAGCTACTGGTACAAGTCCTAGTGCCCAAGGACTGAAGAACCTAGAGTTTTGATCTCCACCACAATGAAAGAAGAGTGCATTCTTGCTCCAGGAGAGAGAAAGACAATTCACTTTTCTCTGTTTGGGGGTTTTCAGGGGGCGGGGAGCAGCAGGTGGGATGGTGCCTGCTCTTACTTAGGATAGATCTTCCCCCTTTCGGTCCATTCAGATTCACACACCAGTCTCCTCTGGAGATTGTAACCTTCACAGCTACACCAAAATAATGCTTTGCTAGTTCCCTAGTATTCCTTCATCCTGTCAGGGTGACACCTAAACTGAACCTCACAGCAAGTAACAAGTTGCTATAGGAACCCATTGGAGAGGCTCCTGTAATTAATAAATAAGTCAGGCGTCATCAGCAAGATCCGTTACAGCCAGATCACCCCGAAAGTGCTTGAAATCGTGTGTCTCTGCTTGTATTAAACACTGCCCCCCAGTGAAGAGCTGTCAGTCTGCCTCAGGCCTCTTTGTAAACAAGTCACCCCATCCTCTGTCACTAGCTCACTTTTTACCTCTTTTCCTCTGGATTGTTTCTTGCCTCTCTTTCCTGCTTCCCAAACCAGACTCTTCCTTACATGGGTTTTCAGATGCACTGGGACCCTCAGCTGCAGCCTTTCTCCTTTGCATCCCTGGACAGGACCCACCCTAAAAATTTAAACTGATGAATCCTAATGAAACTTGGCCCTTTAAGTTTGTCAGGGGACTTCCCCCTTGGCCAAAGGCCCCTACAAAAGCCACTGCCCTAGGAAGATTTGATTGAACCCAGCAGGATTAGAGACGTGGATTCTCCTTAGTTTGCTACTTCAGGACTGAGGGGCTGTGTTTGGGTTGAGATCCACATCACAGCTGCAGGGGGATAGATGGAATGTCATTTGCTCTGAAGCTTTGCACAAACAGGAGCAATTTCCAGAAGAGCGGAATGACCATACCTGTTTGTTCCCCTTGGGCTTTCCCCAGCTCAGAGGGAGGGAAAACCTACTCAGGAGTCCCCTTCTCTCTTATTTTAGAATTTTTTTCCCCACTCTTAAGAATTTCCATTTGAGTAAAAAAAAAAAAAATGTATTCCAGATACAGTTCGAGAATCAATTTAGGTCTCCAGTTTTATTGATTTTCTAATAATAACTGGTGTGCTCTCTGTCTACACAGAGACTGGTACAGACACATTCAGGGAAGCAACATTCATAAAAGTCTAAAATCTATAAGCAGATCCTGACCATCCACTGAGAAATGAATAAACAAAATGTGGTGCTTACATGCAATTGACTACTGTCCAACAAAGGAAGGGACAGATATTAGTGTATACCCATGATGAAGAGGCCAAGTCCAGAAGGCCACATGCTGTGTGATTCTGTGTACATGAAACTTCTGAAAAAGGCAAATCTACTTAGAAAGTATACCCAGAGTGGCCAGGATTGCAAATTGGTACAAAGAATTTGTGAAGGAATGATGAAAACGTTATAAAACTGGATTGTACTGATGGTGGCACAACTCTACAAAGACACAAAAAGTTACAGAACTGTTCACTTAGATGGGCACACTTTATGCCATATACCTCAAGGGAGGTATATACAGTTCTTAAAAATAGTAACTCTTGGTCTATGTGTAAACTCTCAACATTACATGGATATATAACTTAGCAATTGAAAATCATGGATAATCCCACTTCACAAACACACATACCTTAACAATTTATATTCTTCGACAATTTTCTTTACATCTATTAACATAGATGTATAGGTCCATATAATTTTTAGAACAAAAATTATATTGGTTCTTCTTGGACACTGAGCCTTGGATGTTTTTGTGTTCATATTTGGTTCTGAGGTCACATGGGACACAGAGTGAAAACCTAAATCAGTAATTGTTCAGGACCCCAACCTCACCAACAAACCCTCATCCTCTCTACCCATTCTTCATTCCCTGCTGGCCGGGAGCAACATCAATCAAGGGCCCAGAGACAGAAAGTGAGGGTTAGCTTTCAGGGCCTTTCTTGATCTCAGAGCCAGAGGAAGGACCCAAAGTGTAGTAATATGAATGCAAACATTTGAAAACTGACTACAGTTATCCTGTGGATACCACAGTCTACAGATGTTCAAGTCCCTTGTAGAGAATGGCATAATGTTTACATAGAACCTGCCCACATACTCCTGTCTACTTAAAACCATCTCTAGATTACTTATAATACCTAACACCATAAAAATGCTATGTAAAAAGTTGTTATAGTGTATTGTCTAGGGAATAAAGATCCCCCCCAAAAACATCTGTACATGTTCAGTTCAGATGCAATTTCTTCTTTGAATATTTTCAATCTCTGGTTCAATCTGTGGATGAGGGCCCACTGTTTATTATTATGGCATCTGGCCCAAAGACAAAACTTCCTCCTTTTAAAAAGTAAAGGCACTGCATCTCACACACTTGCTCTTTCCCCATCAGAGGAATGCTATCAGGGCTGCTCCAGGCTACTACTATAGATGTACCCAAGGATTAGATCAGAAAGATGGATTTGCAAGGGAGAAGGCTGGAGGCTTTCTGTTCCTATAATCAGTACCATGGATCTGCTGTGCCTGTTGAGCTTGTATGGAAATATCCCACTGTTTTCACAGTGTATAATGCTGAGCCTTGAGGATTAATAGAGAAGAGAGATTAGCAACCAGCTTCCCACGTGTCTAATAATGAACTAGTCCTCTACTGAGCTTTTCTATCATGCTGCTGAGATTGAAAAGAAAGTTGCAAGACCCAGAATGAAAGCAAGCTAAAGTTATGAAAGGCAGTGTCCGAGACACCTCCGCCTTAACATTCCATCACAGTCTCATCAGTCACAAGACACCATGGGTTTCTGGAAGTCTCTTAAGGGCGATGCTGGAACTGACTTCTCTTATCTGGACCTTGACATAAATTGTTATTAAATCTTATTTGAATTATTACTGTCCAAACACCATTTTAACATTCATCCTCAAATGGTTGTTGTAACCAGATTTTCTAGGTCTATAAAAGTAAAGAAATATGAACAACAACTGGACGAGGCAACTTGCAACTATAAAGAAGCAAAGAAACATAAAAGGGGACAGAAATGAGACAAGAACGAGAGTGGTGTCTGCATGTGGAAAATGGCCACCAAAGAATGGCTAGGGGAGCTGAGGTCTTGGGTGGTGTTGCACCCATCCTAGGAAGAGATGATTAAGTAGGCCCCGCCCTCCTTGGAGCCTCCCCTCCCTCCTCCAAGGTCCCCTTCAGTGGTTCCTGGAGAAGGCCATTCCGTTTTTTAAATCGGGAATCACAAAAGGATTCCCTTTTGTCAGTGATGACATTGAGGTCCCAGGGGGACTTTCCTTTTGGTTGTTAGGGAGGGTCTTCCCATAGATTCAAAGCTAACCACTGTGACAGGCCCACCATCGCTGAAATGTGTTTCTAGCACATTCCAGACCGTCATTACTTTAATGTCCACGCTCATCCGTGAGCTCATGCACATACTGCTTGCTCCGTACAAGTATGTACTGGGTGTGTACTAAGGATAAGGCTCAACAGGTCACAGAT